CTATGATTTAGCACAGCTTGATATGCCAGTATCAGGCACTCAAGATCAAAATATACTTTGATAAGACTTGTCTACTTTGAGGTGTCCCCTCAAAGGAGATATATAAAACTATCAAGGAAGACCTAAGCCAAGCTGCATTTTGCTTTTGATACAAATACAGTGTCAATACAATACAGCAATACAGACCAGAAACTGGAAGAGGAAGCCAGCTTGGGAAGCATATCTAACCACACAGCCATGGAACATGCCATGAGCTAGGAAAAGAGTGAAGCCTGTATCAGTGTACTCCTCATGCTACAAAACCAATCCAGTAAGCTGTTCCTCTTTTTATACAAACAAAGCATAAGGGGGCACCAGACAGCAAGAAGTAATGTACATTCAAATGTCTTTTCTAGAGACTAGTCTCCTTCTGGAACGAGAAAGATGATGAGCTTGAGTTACGGGGGAAGTGTCTTTCAGAAGTCTGGCTATAACAAAGTCATAGGCATAGATATGGTTTACTTCCTTGGCCTTGCAACCTGCCACACATCAGGCACTTCATTCTAAGTTCTAGATCCCCACTCACAACAAGTACAGAAGTACTTCTCTCCACTTGGCCAGGGGTGGGCGGGGAAATGCTACTTTTTTCTAGCCCCTGCATCTTGTTTGTTTTTCATAGCAAGTGCTCCTACAGCACAGAAAAAGTTAAGGTTGCTTAGTGCAATATTGCACTTCACTCTATATAAGTGCAATAAAATAAGGTCCAATAAAATTTATGGCTAAATTAATACTTAATGAAGAAAGGAAGCGTGATATTCTGATCTCAAGACTGCTTGGCTCCAACTCTTTAAAGGCCTAACATCTCTGAACCATGCAGAAGAGCAACCTATAGTCAGATAAAGCTGACATACAAGTAATTCTCTGAACAGCCTCACTTTTGAGTTTAGATTCAGTACCATGCAACCTTAGCACCATATATCAGTTTTCAGAAGGCAGAGTTCTGTAGAAGTCCGTTCTGGAAGAACAGAACTCACTAATAATTTCTTTTCATTTTAATTAAATTTAAATTAATTTAAATTTAAAGGAGAGGGTCCCTATCATTTAATAAGGAAAGGATCAAAGTTGCTTCCCTTCCGATCAAATATTTCCATGTTTTGATACTACTATTGCATTTCACTTGCATATGTAATAAAAGTAGCAATAGTAATTTTATGTGCCCATATCCCTAGATACAACTACTGCTTCTCAAAGTCAACTTCAATCTGTCCCAGAAAATTTTTCTACTTGAGCTAAGAGAAGAAAGGAAGGATCAGAAGATAAAAAAGAGCTTCTAGTATAAATTTACTGTTTAGTGCAGTTGAATACAATAACGTAATTTTAAAAATAATCTTGTCTTTGTATTTTAACACAGACTACTTCCTGAGATCTTCTACGATTTTTTTTCCTGAAGTTAGCTATAGCCTTTATGCATACAACTGTTTGGTTTTTATATATTAAAAACAGTTACCTGCTCCTGTGTCCTGGAGGACAGGCAGTTTTGTATCTAAGTTAATACCATATTTAACCAGCATCTACTTCTAGAAAGAAATCACAGAATGCATGCGCAAATATCCAAATTTTAGTGTCCTCTTCAGAGTCAACTAAACTTTTTCCCCTTGCAATAGTCTTTCATTATACATGCAAAAACTGTTCTATATAAAACATGAACGAGTTACACAGGGGAAAAAATACAGCATTTCCACTGTAATTAATCAGTCTTTATCAGCAGCATAATTATGTTTAGAACAGTAGCACAGTAACTATTTGAAAAAAGTTCACATTTACAAGAATTGTAAAGGTTTTGGGGGGGGCATGCACTAAAGCATTTCCGCATCATATGTTTTAGGATTTCTTTCAGGAATATGGTACTACTTGTTTTTCTATTTCTGCATCATATATTTTAGGATTACTTTCAGGAATATGGTACTACTTGTTTTTCTAATTCTCATTATTTTAAAGTTTATCAATCTTGCATTCAAACCAGAATCACGCTGACTCAGAAGAAAGCATACTGGATATGAAAAGTTACATTTTCCAGGGCAGGTAACTACAGCATATATTCAGTAGGTCAAGTGTGGCATAAAGCCATTCATTAGTTTGTTTCTTCAGCAAAACAAAAGGTTGTTCCATTAGAGCAGACACTGGTTAATAATGTCACTGGTACACCCAGTTCAATCCAACATGCAGTCATTTTGTATGTCAGGGCACTGACTGCCACGTGTCTGGCAACAGGAAGATAGGCAGTAAATCCATCACACCATGTTAGGCCTGTAAATACACTCTCCTTTTCTTTCTGTATCTGGTCTACTGATATTGTGGCAACATGATACGTATTTCCACTTATCTCAGTAGATCCAAATTCCATGCTTTAATCTTATTTTTTACCCATAACCAAGTGTTTTGAATAAATTTACGGAGTACATTTCAGATATTCCATACAGATACATGCAGGCTGTCATGATCACTGTAGGTCCATCCCAGACTCATTCCAGTCCTCTTGCAGGACTACACACCCCTGCTGCCCACCTACTGTTGTGTGAGAGTTGAATTTGTTAGGTTAATGAACCCTGAGATGCCCTTTATATAAATTCAGAACAACAAGTTACAAGTCAACACATTAAAAGTCCATCACATAAAATAGTCAATAAATACTTAAATATCATTTCTGTCAAAGGAGTATCTTTTTAGAAGTCAAGGTTGTTTACTACTTAAATCCCACCTTTTTTTTGTTTAAAAAGGGAAACTACGAACAGCCCTCTGTACACTCCAGTTTCTCCTTAAAATGTAGAGTGCCTCCATACACTAAAAGTTCATGGACTGCAGACTAGAGTGGAACAAATACCTTTCAATACTAAAACAAAAAAAAAAAACACCACAAAAACTCTAAGCCTAAAAATTTCCCTAAAAGCCGTAGCTATTTGGAGAGAAAAGGAAAGCAAATCCCAGCAAGTCCAGAGAAGCAGTCACCAACTGGCTGTGTCAGTTGCTCCAGCTCTTACACAAGTATCACATCAGTAACTCAAAGGGATTTACTGCAGGTTATGTGCTATGAAATCAGTGCAAAGAAGTTCAAGTTTGACCATTATTTTGATAGACAGAATCGCTAAAATACTGGTTGAAGAAACTGCATAGCTTGTATTCTTGTCACAAAAACTACATTGTCCTGAAACTAGGCTTTAACTAGCATGTTACAACAGCCAAGATACACAAGTTAATTATAAGTTGAGTTAAGAACACTTACATAAAAGGCAACACCTGCCTTGAACTCCTATGGGACAGCACAGGCAGGCACAGGACAGTACATACACACCCAAATAGCACTCTACCCTACTATACATGGCATTTTATGCTTCACTTTTCCAAGCCAAAAACCTTGGAAGGCTAAAGTCCTCATTTTAGTATTAGGAAAAATAAAATTAGGGGCAAGTGCTGTCTTTAGTAATGTAGACTGCAAAACTGCCCCCTCCACAATAATCTAGAATCTCACCATGGCTACCGCTATGACAGGAATTCTGAAAAAACCAAGTGTGTGTCATCTAGCTGCAGCAACAGCGATGTTCAGCCTAACTAACACCTACCTGGAAAGAGAGGTCTGGGGAAAGAAAAAAAAATAAAAATTGTAGGAGATAAGATTTTCCCCCTCTTTCATTATCAAGCCTTTTTTAGCAAATCTCACTAGATATCACATACTGTTTAATTTCTAAACTCCAATAACTAAACTGACCTACAAGGGGCTCCTGAAGTTGTTCTCCTTGCTGTAAGCCTTATAACAGAAAGCAATCAGGATGCCACACAACACAACCCTTTTCTTAGGTACAGCTTCCTCCTCATACTGGCTGACACACAGCAGCTGACGTATTTCACTCCAAGGTGTCACAAAGAGAGGGCTGATGCATTTAGGTTGATGCTGATCATGAAGGAACCCGAACGTCAGAATTAAATGGTGATACAGCAACATAAGATTGTGCACAGAACCACTCTACAAAGGCACTCTCTCTCTCTCAAAGGCATATAAAGAGCTGTATTTCAGGTCCAGCAAGAAGAGGGTGAATAGAACCAACCAGCCATTGTCCCTTCTAACATAAGAACTAGGGGCCAAACAAAGCAACTGAGGAGCCTGGCTGAAAACAAACAAAAGGGAATAGCTCTTCACACAGTGAGCAGTAAACCTGCAGAACACAAAGTCCTTTGGCAAGGAGGCCGCAAAAAGGATTTACACAGGTTCAAGGGAAGGTTAGAGAAATACTCAGAAGAAATCTAGAGTTACTGAATACATGAGCAACTTCTAGGCACTGAAGTTTGGGGGAGGAGAGCAGCCAGGCAGGACTTGAACTTGTAGCTCTGTTGTGTACCAAAAGCATGCGGCTTTAGCTGTAGTGCCACAGGGCAACAGAGTAAAGGGCTGGACGATTGTTGGTCTGAACCAGTGCGATTGTTCTTATGTTCACGCTCTCAAATGTGCTCCTTCTAAAGATGCTTCCCAGCCTCTACTATAACTGATCAGTAGTTGCATCATTGGTGGAACTAGCAACCTGTTCTTCTAGGACTCAAAATATATTAGTTTAAGAATTTAAAAAATTCTAGTTATAAAATACTAATAATTGCAGCAGGGCTCCTCAGGAATCCATATTAACCTACTTCCATTTTGAAAGTCTTTATTGTCCTTCCATGCAAAAACTCTTATGTTCATTTTCAGCTTTGCCTATAGATAAACTAATCATCGTAAACATAATTTCAAGAATTTGAATCCAAATGTAAGCTCTTAAATCATTACTTAAGAATTAAAGTGCTCTTCAGAAGTGTCATCGAGAGATTCGGGAGCACAGTTCTGATCTTAACAGGACCTGGACTTCTAAGTTAAATCCTTCTTCCAAGCTTAAAATCTATGTTCCCTTAAACAGTAAGAAGAGGCTGTTCCTTCACAATTGCAGAAATTCCACAGTTTCATTACAACCCCGGTCATTTCAAGCCAGGGGACCTACCGAATGTTTTCCAGTGCACTTGTTAGCTGGTGTTGTGCAATATCATAAAGTTTCACTTTGAAGCCTCCAGCAGCAAATACCATGGCCCAGCTGCGACCAATGAGTCCGCTGAAAAGAAAATAAATATCAGCCAATTAATAAGGAAGCATTTATTTTGGGGAAGGGGTCTGACAAGCATTGCAAGAAGGAAAACAGAGCTTGGACTCTTCAATGTTTGATGAAAATTACATATTGATAATAAACAAATCTCTTTCTAACGGAGAAATATCCTTCGCTAGCTATGTAGCAGCTTCTCTGAGAGCTGGAAGAAAGATAATGAGGAAGAAAAAGACAAAACAGAAAAAGGACAGCAGAATTCAAAACAGTAGGAACCACTACTTTGGGACACTGGACTCAAGTGTGAAGTTTTGTCAGCTGTAATCTTAACCTGGAATTGGTGCATGGAATTACATTGAAGAGTTGTTTGGTTTTTTGGTTTTTTTTTTTTTTTTTTAATTTAAAACTCATCTGTTCAGTTCACAGCCTAAAGACAGACACCAGCTCATTGGTCCAAGAGTTCAGAATCCTGCTTCAGATATGATCAGAAAACCTAAGGCCCAGCTACCAAAGTCATTGGTCCTCTACCATTTGGGAAGTACCATAAGCATGTGAAAACAAACAAAAAAAACCCAAACCAAACCAAAATCAAAACCCAACAACTATGGGTTTGATACTGCTTTCCCACCAACGTCCAGCACTACCCTTATTTTCAGATGAAGCACCCTACCATGCTGGAGGCATGCAGGAACAGTCTGCCTACATCTTTTGGTGAAGTGCCATTACTGAGAAATACATAGAGAAAACTCGCAGTAACTGACAATTTTATCATGTCTCTTAAAGCAATGCAGGTTTTAACTTAATTAGATTTATAGCAGGCATCAGCCTCTTCAAAAAGAAGCACTGAGAAACAGCGTAGTAAGCTTAAATAACCTGAGATGACAAAAAAAAAAAAAAAAATCTCCTTTACAAAGACAAGAGCAGAACTCCATACCCATGACTGTTACAGTGGGGGGTTTGATAATTACATGCATTTTCTACCATTTCCGAGATCATTTCTGTATTTTTAGCCTTAAACTTAAGCAACCTCTGGCAACTGGAAAATGCAAGGCCACTAGGGCATCAATAAAGGATTAAAACGGGACTAAAAGTCAGAGATAAAGCAATAGGGCAGATGAGAAAAGAAGGAAGAGAAAACAGGAACACGTTCAGCCTTTGGTTTAAATAAAAAAAGGGAACAAACCAGGAAGTTTAAGGAAACAGCAG